TGCTGTGCCAAGAAAGGCCAAGATGCATGGCACGTGCTTCACATGCTGGCACTGATTTCAGTGACTTTTGCAGTAGAGTGGAGATGTGTTGGGTCCCAGTCTGCAAGTGCTGTGCTGCCATGCAACATCTGCCCATCCAGAAAACATGTCCCTTCTTCAGTTCTTCCATGGCAAGTCTGTGTCTCTGGCTAGCCCCCATGTAGCAGAATCACTGAGAACATGGTGTATTCACAGTAGGCACAGTTCTTGAGTTTGCACCCATGGCTCAGTCCAGCTCAGACTGCACTGCCTTGTTCCTGCTCAGTGAGATGAATGGGTGCCAAAAAGTCCCAGCTGAACTCACCTAGTAGGAGAGGGAACTACTGTACGCTGGTTTAAGTCAACCCCATAGGAATGCACAGAGCCATGAGAGAAGTCCCCAGTCCTTACAGCGATGGCCACGATGAAGGCCAGGCTAAGCCCACCCACAGCCTGGGCTGCTTCTGCTCCAACACACCCAAGATGCCCATTGCCTTGGAGCTGACCTGACTGGGTCACAGGCCACCCCTAACATCCATCATGCGTGTTGTGGGGACTCCAGCCAGATCAGAGGGCTCAGCACTTCACCCTGAATAAAGACATCTCAACAATGATTTCCCACAAGGTGAAAGGGATCCTGCCCTCCTGCCGCAGGGCCCATGTGACCCAACAGCAATGTGCAAAGGAGATCCTAGATGTCTAGGACTGGGGATAAAGGCAGTAGGGTCAAGTCCTGATTTGGGTGACATTTGCCATGTAACCTTTTGACACATCATGCCCCACTTCTGTGCAGCCCCAAGCCTTGCTGGATGAAAGCAGCAGTACCGTGCAGCTATCCACCCTCCCATTGCTCTTGGGACAGGCTGTGACTCCCCATTACCTTTGGTCCCCCAACCTTGGTCCTCCAGCAGCTCCTGGACTGTGTAGAGACGGAAAGAGATCACCTGACCCCATGGAAGGGACATGTGTGTGAGGTCACCAAGAGTGAGGATTCCTGGGGAAACCAGATACATAGAAGAAAGAGATGTGGGGTCTTTGGGTTCCCAAAGCAACCCCATATCCCTGTGTGGCTCTCTTCAGCATCTGTGAGCTGGTGAGCTCTATTCATGGTAAAGTCCACCCCGGGCTGACACAGCAGCATCTGCATTACAAGAAGGCTGCAAGCTTTTGGGCCTCCCACTGCCACGCTCTGGGCTGGGGTGCAGAGCAACAGTGTGGCCAGACCTTGGGATGTGACTCAGTGGAACTTATCCACACCAGGCATCACCTCCATGGCCTGTTCTCTGAGGCCCTCAGAAAGGAGCTGAGGCTTTGCCCAGCACTGCCCCATGCAGGGGGATGTTTTACTGCTCCATGTTTTGCAGGGAGCTGTGATGCTCTGCATCTGCTGAGACAGCGCCAGCTCTGAGCCATGGCAGCCTCATTACTTCTTGTGGTGATTTCTTGTTCAACATCCCCCTTGATTCCCTTAGCTGTGATCTATATTTGGAGGCAGTTACACTACTTCAATTTTCTTTCCCGCTGCCTCTGAAGGAAGCCTGTATCTCTCTCCTTTTTCCCTGGCTGGTTCATTTTTAGACCCCTCCTTTCCAGCCATGTGTATTCCTAGGGTTTGGCTGTAAATATTTTACAGCAATTTTCACAGGTAGGGGGAGCCACTGAAACCTGCTGCCAGCTCTGCTCTGTGTGTACGATGCCTTTGCTTCCCTTTCTAGACGGGAGGGAATTGCTCCATGGACACAGATGGGGTGACACAAGCAGGAGAGGATCATTGGATCCTGTCTTTGGGATTGCAAAGCCTCACCCCCCAAAATAGCCCCTTGTCGTGGTTTGGCCTCAGCCAGCAACAAAGAACCACACAGCCGCTCGCGCAACTCGCACAGTCGTGGAAAAAGAAATCGTCAGGGCAAAACTCGTGGGTTAAAATAATGCAATTTAACAGAACAGCAAAAGGAAAGATGAAAACGCGATTACAGTACCGCCGCGAAGCGCACCGACCGGACCTGCGCCCCCGCAGCCCACCCCCAAGTGGCGACTGCTCTCCTCGCCCCGGCTAGCTCCTCTTATAGCCGGGGCATGGGTTACGTGGTATGGAATACCTGCCCCCTGCCGGCTCCTGGGGGAAATTAACCCCATCCCTGCCGGAACCAGGACACCCCTCTAAAACAAATTTGTATGTCAGGTTGTGTCCAGGAGAAGGGTCCTGGCAGTGAACCAGCACTGTCAGGGGATGCTGTCTGGGACCCGGAGCAGCTGTGCTGCCTGCTGGAGGGCCTGTCACAGGTTGGGGCTGTGCCAAAAAGTGCATTTGGGGACCTCCAGGAGGAGAAAAAGATGTGGATGCTTAATTCCTCTGAGATGCTGTTCTTCTCTCTCCTCTGGGGAGGGAAAAGAGGGAGAAAAAAAGCATTTTCTTCCTGGTCACAAGCTGAGGCTGCAGGTTGGTCAAACAAGGCATTTTTAGGTGAAAGCATTGCCCTCTTGTAGGTAAGATGCTCGCCATATCTGCATACACATATGCACCCAGATCAGCACTTGCCCATCAGGGCAAACTGCTGGTTGTTGATAATTTAACCCTCTTAGGTGTTTAACATCAGCTGCCACCCCTTTCCACAGCCATTGGATGGAGAGTCTCATGGCTCTGAGGCCCTTTCCTGGTGCCTGGAGGAGACTTTGAAAGATCCTGCTTTTCCCCGCAATTTACTCCTGACCAAGGACTGGCACCTTCAACATGGGAGACTGACCTGCTCTTGGTGGCTTCCTCAAACCTACTGGAGACGACGTTGCCTCATGGAGGGGATGGTTAGAGACCACAGGCTGAGGTACAAAATATGACCTGGTATTTTGGAGAGCAAGAGTCTTTGGCTTTCCCCTAGGCTTCCACTGTGACCCTGAGCACCAGATGCTTCATGTGAGTAGCAGCATTTTGGAGGTCTTCAGTGAAAGGGATGTCTGTACAGTACCTGTCACAGCAAAGCACATGATGCCTTGGAGAAACAGCCGTGACACTCAATGGAGTCATGGGCTTCTATCGGAACAGCTTCCAGAGCATCTCCAACCACCAATGTAGATGTTGGTATCTTTCTCCTCCCATTAAACCTCTAGGCTGCATGTGGACAGATAGAACTGGGATGCACCAGATGGAGGGAAGTGACCTGAATGTGTTCTCAAAACATCCCATCTGTCCATACCTGTCCACACACCAGTGAGCCATCCATCCAAAGCACTGCTTTCAGCCTGCAGGAGGATGGGTGGACTGGTACCCCACTCGTGGAACGGCATTGCAATTTTCTGGTGCTATCTGTCCATAGGAACCTCGCTTCATGCGGCAGGCACTAGTGGAGATCTGTTTCAGCCTGGCCATCTAGTGCTGTGAAGTCTGGGACCAATCCAGCACATGGTGGAACTGTATTTCAGACCAATTCTCTTTACCAACAGATTCAGCTTTATTGTTATTCTTTTTTACATGATTCTTAGTGCATCATTTCAAATAAACTATCAAACTGTACAAAGAAACAGAGATAAAAGAAGAGGTGACAAAGTTGGGCAGAGGTTTTTAGTGTCATGAACCATCATGGAAAACAGTAGTCCATAGGCTCTCAAATGTTAAAGGTCCAAATAAATCTTATTTTGTTTGCTTAAAAAAATGCTGCAAAACATAAACAATAAATGACTGTAATTAGCAGCTACGAGATCCTTTAAAACTGGAACTTGATTACTGTGAATGCAACCAGGGGAAGAAAAAGCAATCTGAGAAAAAGGGCCAAACACAACTGTGAAATAAATAAATAAAGTGTGGGAGGACAGTTGTGGCACTGAAATGCAGAGGAATCACTTCTAGTACAACAGTAAATCATTGGACCACAGACAGCAGAAAGGAACTGAAACACAAATCCCCGCTTAAAAAGAGTATAGCATGTGCATCGCAAAATGGAGGAAGTACAACATAGATGGGTAGGTGGAATCTCTCCTGCACAGAAAGGTTCAGCTGGATCTGAAGCACGGCTCCAATTGTGCCTCGAACCCAAAGTAGCAGACATCATGGATGCTAAATAAGCAGCCACTTGGCCAGTTTGTCTGAACAAGCAGGAACAGGAGAGCAATGATTCACAGCAACGCCAGGTGAGATTTCCATTTGAGTAAAAAAAGGCAGGGGTGGGGTGGGGTGGGGGGAGGTGGGCAGGAAAGATACATAGGCTACTGCATTTTTTAAAACATCCTGGTGGGCTGGTCAGACCATCCATGGTTCCCAGTGTCTTCCCCAGGCAGCTTGCCTTTACTTGCACGCTGAGGTTAAAAACCCACATTAAAGTTTCCTGATATATATATATATTTATTTATTTATATTCATATGTATATGTATATAAAAAGGATAAGGTGACAGAGGGCACTTCAGGCCTCTCCTGTTGTGGGCAGATTACATTCCCACATGCTGTGCCGAAGACGCCTCTCTCTTGGTCAGTGACTAGCTCATGATAGCCCATCCTATCGCGATGTGCTGAACAGTGCTCCTTTTGGTAGAGAGACATGCTCCCTGTCACTCTGTGCCCTTCTCTGGGAGCGCTGGTGGTGCCACAGACCGTCATCTTGGCTGAGTTTCCTGCACTGCCGGGAACTGTGGACATGTACCTGTGGGGACTCCAGGGAGAGAAGGAGGATGAGTGAGAGGGCTGGTGAACAACAGAGCAACCTGGCCCTTGGAGAACCAGCATATCCCTTTGTTGTGCAGACTGTGGTAGGAGGGAAAGAAAAGCCACTAGTGCTGTTGGGGATGGAGATGGTGTATCTATGATGCTGAAATGACAGAGCATTGCCGGAGAGTGTCAACTAAAGCTTCTTTGATTTCTTCCACTAGAGCAATCACCATATGATACACGTCTACGGTTTTGCTCATGTAATTTCCTAGGTAAAATTGTGCTCATCAATTTAGTCCAGGAACGCAAAGCATCGCTGGTTCATCCTCCCTGTGAATGTGTTCCTTGTTAAGTGTTCTGCTCTAAAATGTCCTTTTCTGCCTTACAGCTGATGGACACGTGCCCTTGGCTCAAGGATGGACTTGAATGTGTCTTCCGCAAAGCAATGTCGTCAGCTTCCACCTTGAAGAAACTGGTTTCAATTCTCTCCAGGTCATCTGTCCCAACTTTTATCTTCATGCACAGCAGGTTGATGTATGTCTCATAGCGGCTTTTCTGCAGGGAAAAAGGGAACAGAGAGCCTGGGAACAGGGACAGGCCACGGCATGCATGGAAAGCAGAGGCAATTCCATCTGCTACTTCAGGAAAACCCAACCTGTATTGTCAGGAACCCACTAATCATACCCAACAAGTAATCTTTAACCACAACACAATGCCTGGTCTATGCAAAGCCTGCAAAGACTGATCAACCCGTTATTGAAAGGCTTGAGGAGAAAGGGGAGGGTTGTGCAAGACTCTCTTACAGGTCTCAACTGCCACTCTTATTGTATAAGGTGGATACTGGAGGCAAAACTAGACCAACAGATCTGCTCTGGAGAATCAGGCTGGGCATTACACAAAAGGGCAGTGCAGCCCTGGCATGATGGAGGAGGGACATTTCCATCCTTGGAGATTTCTGGGACTTGGCCACAAAATGACAGGCTCAGCCTGGGCTAATACTGGGAATAATCCAAGCTCCTGCTGGAAGCAGGACTAGAGGCCTCCAGCAGTCCCTTCCCACTGACACCTTTGTGGCAGGAATCACACTAGCTCTCACTGGAACAAAATATCCCATTTCTCCCACAATTAAATCCTTCTCAGACTTTGCAGAGAGTTTAAACTTAGCTAAATGCATCCTCAAAGAGTCTGTTATCAGCTGTAACACTGATTTCACTTTATTTAGAGAAACGGTTGCAGCAAAACAAGATTAATTCTCCCCTTAGCTTTTTATTAATGTTGCTGAAAATGACTGATGCGCACCAAGAACTGAACCACTTTCTAACTCAGGACCTGAGGAAATGTCAAGTTTCAGCACAGTAAATGAAGATTTTATTTCTCTCATCAGTTTTCCCCTCCTCTGGTTAGAAATCACAGAAGGGAGGAAATGTCTGTTATTTCTTTTTTAGCTTCAGTGCAAAACAGTGAGGCTTGCTGGTTCCCCCAGACACCCATCCAGCTTGTGAACCCTTGTCCTTCTCTCTCCTTTCACGCTCTCCCAGGCTCACAGCATCCACTCCGGAGTTCTTAGTTCTCCTCAATCAGCCAAGGTATCATTTATCACAGAAAAGATGAAAGTTCCTTTACCTCAAATATTAGGTAATGTTCTTTAAGTCTGTACTCCTCAGCCTCTTTTGACTTGAGACTCTTCTCTACAGGATGTAATTTATGCTCTGCTAATTCGTCTGCAATCTGCTTCATTTTATTTTCATGAGACCTCAGCTGTTCCTCCTGCCGAGAGAAGCATGACAGGTATTAAAACGTAGGAGTGCAACACCCAAGTGCACCACCTGCCTGTTAATGTGGGATCTGTCTCTGCAAGGACGTAAACTTAGTTATTGTGCTGGAGCCAAAGGTGTGCAGTTCATTTGCAAATTCATCTGATAAGGAGCAGCTGAAACACAGGTATTTGAGGAAGATCAAAACTCATATATTGCAAGTGCCAAGAGTGGATTTCTTTGGCACCCGGGCTTCTTTAGCATCATAGACATGACATGTTCTGCATCCTTTAACAGTCAGGCAGAAGCAGTGGTGTCCCAAGAGTGGCTTATCCTGCTCTTTTTTAAGATAAAAGTACCCTCCCCATCT